TTTTAGAGAATGTACCAACTTCAACAGGGCATATTGGTTTTGCTAGGTACGCAATTTTGTAAACGAGTGGTGGTTGATGGATCAGACATAACAGATCTGTCTGAAGGTAGATTTAAATCCATGCGATTTTTACCTGTAAAGACATGAAATATTTAGTGTATAAAATGGAAGTTCAGGTGATTGGTGAATTATGTAAAAGTAGTGAACTTTCGTCAGTATCGTAAGTATGCTGAACGTGACGTGTTCAAGTAAACGGGGACAATCTTGAACATTTATTGTAATTGTAAAACTCGCCTTCTTATTCAACACTTGTACAGATGGTAAGTCAGTATTACAGTTACTATAGGCCGTTCATATGGCATGGATATGGTTAATTTGTCGGATCGACAAAAATATCGAAAAGTCTACATATTCAATTGGTAGTTCGTGCACCGTACGGAAATTTTACCGTTAATTTTTCCAATTTGTCGCTACAACTTTATGCTATATAATTCCAGAAAAAATTGAATCAGTTGTCAGTGGCCCTTACTCGCGAGCTTCTTCACACGACTCGATAGTTTTGCCAAAGACCGTGGTATTCTATGGACTTCAGCCACGAAAGTCGCGAGAGATGGTATTCAACAAAACTACCGTACTGTGCGGCCCCAACTCTATTTCATTGAACTATCGTTTCGAATAAATTGTCGTGTCGCATTGTACCGTGTGAACGGTCTCTTATGTATTCTGAATTAAAAATGCCTCTTTTATTTTATCGTCAGGCATTTTTATATAGCAAAGTGATAATTTTTAAGGGTGCATTTATGTACTTACATCTAGTTAATAAAAAATTTGACAATTTACAGGATATTTTTTTCAACGAGGATACAAATACAATGCTGAGGGTTTTTTGCTATTTATTTATTAAATATTTAAGTGGAAAATTGTTGGTACAAACTACTGTCATGGTGCCCAGTTAGGTATATGTCGTGGGCCGTTATCACCGTCAAAAATGAAGTTCACTTTGTGTAAGTTGTAGACTCGGTTGTAGAAGTCGCAAATTTTTACTGATATCGAAAATCAAAATTTTTTTCTTAAATGGACCTACTAATAAAATCAATAAAAATTCGGAAAAGAAAAAACGGCGGCATACGAATTTTAATCTCGACTTTTAATTTTTTTATATTGAGGATGTTAAAAAATATATAAAAACTGTTTTTTCCTTATTTTGTTAGTATATCCTCCAATGAATATAATTTATTTTAAATTAAAAAATAGTCTATATCTTATTGGGTTCAAGATCTGGAGCTTACACAAGTTCGGAAAACGTAGTTTCGAGAAAAACACGGCTACAGAAAAATATCGCCATCTACAGTCATTTAAATCAATTGTTAAAACAGCTATCTACCGTCATTTATATGATTTACCTATTTCGCAATGGAAAAAAAATCTAGAAATTGAATAAAAACTTAAAAAAAAAACAGCCATAAAGTAGGTGCCTAAATGATACGACAGCTCACCTATAAAGTTAATTTCGAAAAAACCGTTTGAGTACCATATTCTACAAATGTTTATCTACCAAAATAATATTTTTTTTCGTTAATGGGTTTCATGTAAATACCACCTTAATGTGTCAACAAAATCCTCTATGTTTTTCATGATTAGGCACATAAAAAATGTTTTTTATCTTATCAATCTTATTTCGTTCCTGAACAAGATTAAGAATTTTATTCATATACAGGGTGCTTTCGTCTTAATGAGCAAAGCTTCAGTAGCGTTTTTTAGTTTCAGTTTGACGGTTGCTCGACTTTTAAGGGACGAATAGTTGTAGAATGGTTTAATGCAATTTATCTAAATCGATTGATCGGATTAGTATCATGGCCTACCCATTCTCCACATATCACTCTTCTCGATTTTTTTGCTTGGGGTTTTATAAAAAATATATCTTATTTTACCATAGCTGACATAAGCCGATGTATTCAAGAAAATGGTTCTCACTGGCAATTTGATTCATGAGTATTTTTTTTTCTTTTGCGTTTTTTGATAGCTGACCAAGTTTCCCAAACGGAACAGTATGAACAGGAAGAAAGACTTATGTATGGCCCTGGTATCACCGATTAGCCGAAAGGTTCATTATTTTGCCTTAATCGTTAATCAAATTTTTAAACGCTTTTCCTGAAAAATCGTGTTTTTCAAATCGGTCTCCATGATATCCCAAAAAGTACTTGATTGAACCCTTTTTTCATCTTATGTTAACATAGATTAAATTTATTGGAGCCTGAATCTAAAGGCAAGTGATATTTATTGTTGTTTTTTATAAATTCAAATTCAATTCAAATGTCCGTCATTTTTTTTTTTAAATTTTTGGCTTTTTGATATGTTAGGCCCCAGCAAATATTATACAGGGTGTAGCCTAAGTACGTTAAAATATTTAGGTGGGGTATTCCTAAGTTAATTCTAAGAAAAAAAGTTTATATAAACCTTTGTCCAGAAATGTTTCGTTTCTGAGATACAGGTTATTGAAGTTAAAATTTTATTTTCGATTTTCTTAAATAACTTTTACGAAAGATAAATTTTTCGCACAAAATTTGGTAACCGGTTTTTTTTGAGGCGAGAAATCATAATTTGATATTAATTTTTGTGCAACACTTAGAGGGCGCTACGTACGCTATCATTATTAATTTGAATTTGCCAAAGCTTTTTTGACAGAAGACTTCTGCGATTTTTTATGAATAAACCTACACCTTTTTTAAGCAAAAAGATACACTTCCTTAACAACGCTAGAAGCCACCGTGTTCGAGAAATTTGCAAGTTTCTGCAAAGATGCACCTTGCTGAGTCCCTTAGGCGTTAAGGATGTTCGATACATCTCTTGCGGGGCAGGCGGTGCGGGAGGGAAGCCTATGCTTATACACGGTAGTTTCATTGTAGTACCAACCTTACATAATAAATTAATCAATAAAATTTTGTACAAATAATGTACAATAGTAGGCTTTGCATTCCCTAAAATATGAGCTCTAAAGGTTTAACAAGTGGTGTACAACTGGACAGAGGTCATCCCCCTCTTTTTCTCATATTTTAGGGAATGTAAGGCCTACTATCATACATTATCTGTAGCAAATTTTATTGAGATCGGTTAATGAATTCCGGAGATATAAACAAAAAATCAATTTTTTTTAACAACTTCAACACCCTGTATCTCTAAAACGGGGCTGTTCCAGACCAATGTTTATAAGGCAAACACATATTATTTTAAAGAGATCTATCTGCTCTCGAAGTTTCCTGCATAAAATTCGGACCACCCTGTATACTGTTCGTTTTGCAAAGAGATCCTTTCAATTTTTGTTTCAAATTGCTATTATATTGCATTAGATCACGAAAAATGTATTTAATATTAATTATTACTACATATGTTTCGACTGGAATAATTTTGTAGTCTATAATCAAGTTATTCAAATATAGCGCGTCAGTCGAAGCGTTAAATACAGCGTACAGTGTTGCCATATTTCCTTTCATTGGATCAGATGTTTGTTCCAATTTGTGAAAACGTTATATATTCATTCCATTATCTCAATAATTACATTGTAAGTGCATATCTTTATTGTTTTAAAATGTTTAGTAATATTTAATTCTTTAATTGCAATTTTATTTTCCCGATCCTAACCATTTTTAAGAGCGATATTCACGTTTGATTAAAGTTTTTGCCCCAACTCCCATAAGAGCCTGTGTATAAGAGTATAATTTTTAATATCATTTTTCCAAAAAACTACATTGGCAATCGATCTGATATTTTTACACGAGACAGATTACATATTTATTAAGATTTCAATTGCTTTGAAAACTTTCTTACCATTTTTTTCGGTATCGAACCTCCTTAAAAAAAATTATTGAGCATTTTATGTTCAAAAGTATGTCAAACTTAATCAGTGTAATAATGATTTTGTTTAGTTTTAATTTCAACACCCTGTATCTTAGAAACGAAGCATTTCCGGACAAAGGTTTGTATAAACTTTTTTTCTTAGAATTACCCCACTTAAATATTATAATGTACTTAGGTTACATCCTTTATAATTAATAAAAATTTTTGGTTTTTTGATTTCACATAATTTTTTAGTGTTACGATGGAAACCGATTAGCCATCTACTTTCAGACGGTCATGTTACAGCACGTATAAACAATTTATGACTCTATTTTTTACAAACAAATTTTTCTGTCCCTTAAGACTTAATAAATAAGCGTCAAAAAACTTGAGTTTTGAAAAAATCATGAAATTCACCTTATTGTAAGGTCGCTTGATGAGAACCTCCCCTTAAGAAAATAGTAAAGTGTACCCAGTAAATACGCTATGGTGAATCTATTAACGTGAAAATTGACGCGTAAAAATTATTTTTTCCTTCCATTTACAAGATAATCGGGAAAAACAATATATTTTAACGCCTCGTATCTCGAAAAGTTTGACGAGTATATTCATTGAAAATATTTTGCTGAACATGACCTTCCCTGTACGCTGCTGAAGTCCTGCTCATTAAAACGGAAACACCCTGTATAGATACGACTGTTGTTATCTTTTGATGTATAATTGGCAGATTTTAAAGTTACATCTCTCCTTTCTGTTACACCCTTCATAAAAAAACAACTAGAAAAAGATAAATATTTTTATTACTTCTCTTTCGTAACTGCTTTCGAGTGCTTTTGAAGGACGTGGAAAATCTTCCATGTCAGGGTAAAAAGTAGGAAAATAAAGTGTTGCCGAACCACCCCCGGAGTGATTTTTCCTTTAGACCTCATAAAAAAGTATTGTGCGCTGTATCGGCTGGATCTGGTGCAATAAGGACGTTTCCATTGTCCGAGGAGACAAACAAACAATAAAACGCAAGGCCATTGTGCGATGCGGCCGCGGCAGGACTCTCGAGGCGCATACCCGCCATAAATACGGAATCCTGCAGGCGACACGCACCGGCCCACAGTAGACGCACATCTTCCCCGGATCCTGCTGCATAGCACGCCAGCTCCTGGCGTCCGCGGCACGGAGTCAGTCGCTCCACGTTATCCGCAGGAGTCAGTTGCGCGCACGGTTCTCCACTAACAGCAACACGCGCTCTCTCACCTGTCATGAAGTAAACACTGGATTCGCGGTGATCTCGTCGCTGAGGCATTGATGGCTCCGGTGCTATCCTGTGGTGCTTCCGTTTAGGTTCCGTACAGTATTCAGTAACACTCCTCGCAAAAGGATAACTCCTTGGTTATCCTTCAGTTCCGAAAATAGTGATTTGCGTGAATATTAAGCTGCCACTTTGCCGGTAATTTTATCTCTCTAACATTTTTTTTTACCACAGCATGACGTTTTATTCACATTCGGACACCTCCACAGATTCGCCTTGTTAGCTTTTATAATTTGTGAATCACAGGAAAAAATATATTTTTAATATAAATGAAAAATTACATCAGATTCGTGTGAGACATTTCCCCGGTACGATTTTGTTTAATCTATTTTAATGTGTTAAATCTGCTTGCCAAATGGTTTTTAAAACAAATTCGACAAAGCTATACTTTCATATTATAAAAAAATTGGCTAGCATTCCTGGTGTTACGAGTTCATGATAAATTGGAAAATATTAGAATAGCTTCTAGTGCGTCTAAGTTTTTTCCACGTATCTATTTTAAAATAAAGAGTTTCCTACAGAAAAAATGGCTATGCCAATCTGTACCAAAAATATCCATTTCGTTTCTTGGTTTTCTAAAAATTTCCATTTCTCGATTTTTTTCAGAATTATACTATATAAAATGCCAGTGTTAAGGAACTGTAAAATGTTAGTTTTATTTGACTCATAATCCAGTAAAAATTCATTAACTTTGTATTTCACATATGTTAATATTTATTGATAAAATCTAATTAAAAAATTTATTTAAAGAAGTCTCTTTAAATCATCTTAAGACAGTCACTGACTTTATTTTTTTATATGAAACGATCTAATCATCATATACATTTCCTGTATCCAGTCGTGATATTTTTTGTCACATTTGTTATCAACAATTGTTATAACAAACTTAACTAATAAAAACTATTGCTGTAAACAAGTTTCTGCAACTTTCATTTTCTTTAAGATAAGCAGTGTTTGTTAGTTTTGCTTTCAATTATTGCTTATTAGAGATTCAGAGTTCACATTATTAATAATACTTTCTAAAATAATATAGTGACAGCACACTAAACTATTACAATCGAATTTGATGGCATGCACGAAGAGAAATAAGTATTTCAACCAACACGACCAAATAATGAACAATGTTTCAATACAACAATCTCTACCGTGTTCTTTCTGTATAGGTCAAAAACATTACAATAATGATTTGAAATTATATGGTGCCTCTTTCGAATTATATGGTGTTGCATCATTAGTAAATGTAGAAAAACTTAAAACAAATAGATATATCGCTTTCTATTCGCAAATATTTTTCCTTTATGTTATTCGGACGGAGCTCATATTTTAGTAATTAACAATTCAAGATGCGGCATAATTTCTATTTTATACAATTAACAATTTGTATTGAGATGTATGTCAAACGGGTGATGAGAATCGAATGGATAAATAGTTGTCATTATTTAGCACCTTGCCGAGAAATAGTAAGTTTTTAGTGGAATATTTTTTTTATAAAAACAACAAGCGTTATACCTGTCAGAATATATGAAATAATATGAATAAATATACATATACATATATTTTTTTATAATTTAGATTCACTATTAAATATGTACTTTAATTTAATATATGTTCCCGTATTTATAAATTTATTTCTTTTTAAACATATTTAGATGAATCTGAAGAACTATTTATTAAAACAGTATAGCTTTTATTATTTGTTAGTGACTTTTTAAGTTGTAAATTTTAGGATAAATACTTACGGCAATTGGATGTTTACTAGAAGGTGGTGAAAATTGACTCTTGTTTTTCTCGGTTATTGATTGAGATACATAAAAAAGTGTAAGATAAAAAAAGGTTGTAGGGATTTTAAAAAATTTTTTGCACATACCACAAAAACAACTGAATATATCGTATTCGAGATATATGCTTAACTTACGTTTATTTTTTCTTTTTAATGGAATACACTGTATATTTTCGGGTCATTGGAAAGACCGTCAGAGCCTTTTAAAGGTAGTTATATTTAACAGTTTTCGAGATGTATATCGCCTTATAACAGATATCTTGTGAAAAAATCATTCTTTTTTTGGGTGCATAGGAAAAATTCTAAAATATAAAATAAACCAAGCATTTTCAATTAAAAATAATTTTTTTTACAAACAATTTTATTTTCCACTCCGTCATCTTCTTGGTTTTTGTTTTTTAAACATTTTATTGCTTTCAATTTGGTATTAATGTTCCAAAAGTACATTTTGAAGGAAAAGCTCTATGGTATCAAAGGACTTGGAATAATTGTTTTTAATTTTTTGTTTTATTTGTTGTGTTAAATAAAAAATTGCCTAAATTTTTATGTATTTTAAGTATATTGTCACTATGTCTCACCTTTCTGCTTCTGCAAACGATTTAATTAATTTTATGAAATAAATTATTTAGTTGACAAATTAACATAATTTTTTAATTGTAAATATTCTTAAAAGGTACGTAGAAGGAACCTACAGCTTTTGTTTTTAACTTTTTTCGTCTCCAGAACAATAACGAAGAAAAAGAGGAGGATAATTTTTTTGACCACCTTGTATGCAAAAGGAAAATTAATCGAAATTGCCCAAATAAACAGAAAAAAGTAACTATCGTATAATTTGTTGATGTAGTTACTATATTGACCCAAATATATAGTTTCATATTAGCTGTGTTAGTAATAAAATAACAAGCTTTCATGCTTTTAGCGAACTTGATATATGACTGCGTAGTCGTAAACATAACTTTAGTGAATCAATTATAGAACCTGTGTTTGCCTTACCATCAAAAATTTACTATTGTATTTTCTGTACCAGTACCTACTTCCCCTCTTAACAAATTGTAGGTCGTTTTTATTACCCATTTACTTTTTTTTCTCTAACCTACTTGACATTTTAAAATCATTGTACGACCAGCTGAAGCAGAGTATAAATAAAATAGTAGTTGGCGTTAAATGTCTGCGAACGTATATTTCCGATTGGAACAGGCATCTATTTCTGTAACATTAACTCGATTTAAGTTGTTCCATCTCCACAATGGACAGGAGTCTATTTCCGTGCCTTTATCAACGCTGTGGCGGTGTCCAAATGTAAATGCCCGAGCCATATACCTTGATTATCTTAACACTAACGTTATTTTCAGAATCCAGAAAGCTAAACGGGACGCACACGTGTTTGATAGATAGCCTAGTACATCAAAAAATAATGAGAATAGTGTATTAATCGACGGTTGATTTTCCGGTATCGGTGTAAGAATCATCTCCCTGTACGTATTAGTTGTAACACTTAGGAATTTCGATGTTGCCATTGTTATCTAGTGGTGTGTAGAGATCCCCAAGCCGCGACAGTGATAAGGAACAGCCGAACCGAGAGGGTGTAAAGTGAATATTTAAACTTATCGATCAAACAGTCGCGATGCAGCACCACCCGGGGTCCTGGTACCTTCCTTGGGGTGTTCCCCTGCAAAAGATGGTCGCCGTGCCGATCCATCCCGCGGGCCATTTGCACCTGCAGCCCCCGGCCATGCACGTGCAGCCCATGCTGGCGGGGCTGCCGACGCCTTTAGCGACGCTCAGGACTTTCGTGACGCAGCCCACCATGAGGCAGCCACAGAGAAAGGTAACGATCTTGAAGAGTTATGAAAATAAATTTCTGCCTTTATGTAGCCCTCACGATGTCCTTCTAATAAACGCATCCGTTTGTTTCTAAAAAACGTTTAAGCATTGATTAATACAGTAATATACATATTTGTAATTCCCCATTGGCAACATCTATGGGAAAGATATAATTGGGAAAATCCTATTAATAACAAATTCATTGTTACTAGTGTTAGAACAATAGTCTTTGATTTTTGTTAAAAATAATTATGATTACCATGACAAAAATCAAATCGGATATATTTTATTTATGATTTAACAACTAGGTACACATAAAAATAATAATACACAAGTAGTTGTAACGTTTTATAATTGTTGATAATTTTTTATAATATTTTCCATTTTTTAAAGTCGTAGCGGGATTACATTTACATTTTGCCACATAGGTAGAGACTTTCTTATAAGAATTTGAAAAAAGTTTTTGGACTTATTAACAAACATGCGTCAGAAAGTGCAGTAAAAAGGATAACCCTAAACACGGCTTGTTTTTATACAAACAACATTTTACATTTTAAAATATTTGGATAGAACTTTCTTACTATAGCAAAGTTTAACATTAAAGGAGAACACTCTGTATATTAATGCAGTTCTAAATTTCCCGCTGAACTTAGGGTCTACATACAATTAGACAGATATTGGGTCTAAAGCAATTTGGTATTATTTAATATATTTTTTAAAAGTTGAAGTTAGCAGCGTTACTAAAATATCAAATATCTCCTCAACTCAACATGATAACAAGATACATTTTTTATCAATCATTCAGGCATCAAAAAAAACTTATCTTTTGCATAACGCCCCAAACTCGACGCCCCAATGATATTACAGGGTAGCGAAAAATGTTACTGAAAATTTGAAGTATGGAGTTCAAGCGGCATGGATTGAAGTGCATTTGGCACCAAAAATTAAAGTTTTAGATGTTTCGAAAATTGTGTTGATGACGTCATGAAACATATTTTTTTCGGGGAACAATGGTTGAAATAAATGGTCCCATAAAATGGCCCGGAAAATCTCCCGACATGACTACTTTGGACTCTTTTTTATAGGGTTTCTTTAAGAATAAAGTCTATAAAAGTATAGAGCTTAGGTACTCCTAATATGCTGAGAAACGCAATTATAAAAGATGTTAGGCCTCGGTTAGATTTATGATTAGCTGCAGAGGGTGGACATATAGAAATAATTTTGGTTATGTATATAAAATACTTCTTGTTTTTTATTCTACTTTTATTGTTTTTGTTTCCTTTGTGATTAATTAAAGACATGTGTTTAGTATTTAAATATGTATATGATAATACTATTTTAAGGACTTTTGGCAACTTGCACGATTAAAAGTGTCATAGCAAGTCTTGTATAAAAGCTTTCAACGGCCTCCTACTATTAACGAAGCAGTAAATTCTGAAGTAATTATTATAAATCGTTTGTAATTATTATTTTTACTTCTGATCATAACTTTTTAATGAAACTAGATAGAGAGATATTTTTTAAATAAAAGTTTATCGAAAAAATATGTTCTTTTTAAATATGGAAACCTATGGTACCGATGTTCCTCGAAGAAAATATTTCATGACGTCATCAACGCAATTTCCGAAATATCTAAAACTTTATTTTTTGATGCAAAATACACTTCAATCGATGCTGCATGTAATCCATACCTCAAAATTTCAATAATATTTTTCGTTACCCTGTAATATCATTGTGGCGTCGAGTTTGGGATACCTTGTACATACATTTCAACTAGAAAATGTATAATTATGAATTTCTCAAACTTTCAAAGTTTTCAATCAAAGATATTTAGATTTTTTTAAATAAAATTGTCTTATTACACATGTAGATGTGAAATACTTTCTTCAACTCAAAAAAAATCTACAACTGTACAAAATTTGTTCAACACATAATCAATTTTTATCTCTTAAAAGATTCATTAACACTTATCAAGAATTTCAAATAGTAATCTCTAAAAGTTTACCTTCCTATGTTTTGCGTATAGTAAGAGATCTAGCTGACCAGTTAAAACATTTTGTTCAATTAATATATGTGGATAATGTTTATTTATAACCTTATTTTACTATACCTATTTTGAATTGGGAACAATGTTGTTAAGTGTTAAGCATATTCACTTTTTTAATGCTGATATACCAGTGAATAAATTCAAAATTGCGATCTCCTAGACTTAAAGAAGTAGAAAAAAATATATAATTAAAAAAATTGCAAAAAGTTTTGGAGACATCTGTGTTAAGTTTCACATGGGGTTTCATAAAAATTATCTATGATCTAAAACTTGGAATTTCTAACGCCTATTATTACTATTTTTTTGTTTGAGTGACATTTAAAAAAATTAATTAGTATTACCAGGATTACAGAAGAATCCCTCTTAAATGGGACCTTTTATGTACGTTTATCGTATGTATGTACTTTTAAGAGAGTATTTGTTTCAAAATACCTGTTTAAATTTAAATTAAAATTAAATTGACATTAGAAACCATAAAATTTTCAGTTAGTTTTCTTACTGTACTGTCAACCGCAGATAAATAAATGTAAAACTTAAAAAATATTAATGTTAGGTACTCAACTATCTGTTGCGCTTTGGTATTTCTTTTTATAGATTTAATATTGCTTGTAAATATAGTTACTAACTCTGACATTTACCTTTACACCGGAAAAAAAATATAAAATATACCTACTTATTTATATTTAATTCCCTAACTTTTGTCCGGAAATATTTATCAGAGTGTGTTTAGTTGTTGTGTTTACCTGATGTACAATTAGATTAATGTTCAATTAATCTGTCAAAGTCACAAGAACAATAATTGACAAAGTGAACCTAGTTAAAAAAATGGAGATGTATCCTTATTCATTCAACTGTTATGATGCTATATAGTTGAGAATAATTTTAATAATTTTCCGCTGTAGTTCTAAAAGCGGAGTTACATTTTGAGTACAAAACGAAATGTTAGGATATTGTATCCCTTTTATAAATAGACCGGTATTAAGCAGTAGTCGTATCGTAAAAGATTTGTGCAAGTTCCCCGTAAAATCATGCAATACAAATACCTGATCTATTAAAATTCCAAACCTTATCGGTATGAACTTTAGTTCATATCGATTTTATAGTCCGGTATTAACCTTTTACTGTAGATAGAGAATCCATGAGTCGAAACAGATAAGATTTCGCAGTGTCCATACTATACACACAGCGTCCAAACATCTAGTTTGTGTTCAGTTTTATCGAACTGTGATTTATTCTACGGAATGTTTATCCGGAATAGTTATACATGTTTCTAATATCTAACATCGCTAACACTAGAAATGATATAATTATTTCAATCTATTAGATTAGATGTACGATACCAGTTACAGCAACATTCTCGTACAGTGTCTGCATAGATCATAAATTCAAATGCTTCCTATAAGTTTGTAAAGTACTTCTGTGATACCCTTGACGGGACTATAAAAAATCGGGTCCATAGACATTACTCACTAAAAGTCGCTAAATATCAGTCACACATCATTTAAATTAAGTTTACCTAACATTAAATGCCACCGGTTATGTTACTTTAGTATGGTAACAGTCAACACGATTTGTCACTAAGTGCTGGGCTTGTTAACTTGTTTTAAAAGCCGTTTCGCAAACTGTCGTATCACGCATTATTATAATTGTGTGTTTATTTACGATCACCTATTCCTGTTAAAAATAAAATAACCTACATTAAATACAATTCAATACAATTAAAAAGTCGTAGTTGTGTGCAAGTACCTATTAAGAATATTTTAATCTAGGAGGAATTGTCGCCATGAGTTCCAAAAACTATCGCGACTAAATTTTTTTTGCATAATTCTCTTTATTATGTATTACTGATCATAATAATGCTTGTAGGGCGGGGTAACTTGGTCCCATATTGTTTAAAACGAAATAGTTCAATCAACTGCCAAAAAATATTATTTTTAATGTTTTCGTAGTCTTTCACTTAAGGGGGGGGGGGAGTTTATATGCGCAATTTTCAATGCATTTTAGAAAATCTAAGCGAGTTAGAAACAATATCTCTTCATTGTACCAGTTATACAATATTTGTTCAGGATGTAAGACAACTGACAAGTACCTATGTTTATCTCGAGTTTCTTAAATTTTGCACCTTGTTGAACATACCGAAAATCGCGTACGGTATTATACACATAATCGCAACCAGCAGAATGCTTTTAGGAAACTATTAACACATGCATTAATAAGGGTAGATTTTCTGATGTTTACATGTTCTTCGTGATCTCTCACTGTGAAAAACTAGGCGAAAAATTAAAGGAATTGTTGTATTTCAACATTTTTATAATTTAGATGGGTTTTCTTGTTCTATCATTGTTTTACTAAAAGTGCAACTATAAAACGGCATCCTTAATACAAATATAAAACATCCTATGATTTTTAATGATAAATTTAATATTTTCGAAGATACAAGGTTTTTAAAGTTTAAAAATCAAGAATTTGAGGATATTTGACCAATTGAGAATACATGATTGTAAATAAATGTACCTCCTAGAGTATTTGTACATGTCTAACTATCTTACCTTCAATTTTTGTACATTTCATAACTCGCATTGGAAATCTTAATTGAAGACACACAAATGTAGGTCGTGATGAACTTTAAAAGCGAATTTTATACAATCGTAAGGTACTTGGAAATAATTTTGTTCATTATTTATGTTGTAATGCATTGGCTTTCTACCTCGACTACTTAAACGCATCATTATAGTTAAGTAATTAATGTAGACAATTTATAATTACCAGGGATTTTCTGAAGTATTGTAAAATGTCTTGCATATCATAACCGATTAAATTCACAGTTGACTGATATAATACATAAAATTTTATTTATTTTTTATTTTGGTATTAGATACACTCTTTTATCAGGCCTTTTAGAAAAAGCAATCTCAAATTCCATCGAAGAAATTGTAATCAGCATCCATCAAGTGTAT